GGGGGGGGGAACTCACCGCAGCCGCCCTGATCCTTCACCTCAGGGACCGCACCTTCTTTCCTCCAGTCAACGGAGTCAGGGATCGCGTCGCCGACACGCGGCAGGTACCGATCGCTGGTCCTGAGGGTCCTCTTGTGAGGTTTAGCCCCCAGATACATGGATCGGTATTCGTCGTTGGTCAGATCGGCGAACCGAGTCAGACCGAGCCTGTAAGTCAGGTTCCTCGCGTTGTGTTCGTCGATGAATCGGAGGTTATCCTTGAAGATCTCGAATCTCCGGTCCTTCTCCCCCAGGGCGTTGTAGAACTTTCCGTGCTTGACGAGCCACGCCTCGTACATCTCCTCCGTCTCCGCCTCGCTCCGGCCGCCGCCGGAGACGTGGTGCTTCTCGTCGTAGGAGATGATCGACATGTCTATCGCCGACGAGACGGCGATCGTCGCCAGGAAGAGGATCGCCAAAGCTGGCTTACCCAAAACCATTGTTCACAGACTTTTTTTTGTACTGTCTCCTCTTTTTTTTTTTTCTTTTTTTTTTGCCTTGACAGAGAGAGACGGGGGAAGGGGAAGAAGAAGAGGGGTTGTATGATGGCCAAAGGAAGGTTGGGGTATATAAAGAGAAAAAGCGCCAAGTGTTAGAATTTTTTTTTTCTTTTATTTTCTTTTTTGGCCCTATTGTTTCTATTTTCACAAACTTTTATCTGTTTTTTTTAGAAAATTAAAAGAATTTGATTTAAAATACTAAATGAGATAATATCTAAACATTGTCTAATCTGATCAATAATAAATTAAAATCAAATCAAATAGGTCGAATTTAAATATATTACAGATTGAAAACAAAGTTTTAGAAAACAAGAAATATTTTTTATTCCATAATTAATATAAAAAACCGTTTAAATAAGAAATAAGAAATAATAAATGAAATAAAAACGAATCAAATGTAAAAACATTTCTGTCTTAATATATCCAAATTTTAAAATATAAAATTAAGGACTAGTACGTTAAAATACTAATTGGCTCCTCAACACTTTCTAGTTTATAAATATCCTTAATCACGATTTCAAAAAATTAGTATAATTGCTCAAAATACATCTATAGATTAGTATATTATTTAAAAATCTTAATAGCAATGCAGTAAAACCTTTTTAATTATATTCTTGGCATGATAAATTTATTAGAAAAATAGATTATAAATTTTGAAAAATGATAACTTTATCTTGGTTTGAATAATTAAGTTCTTACGCAATGTTCGAGATAAAATTTCAGCATAACTTTAAATTTTACATTTTTTTTTATATTGAGAGTTAAATTAATAAAAAAAATAGTAATGAGGTGTAAAAATGAATTTTATATATTATGGTGGTCAATTATTGGATAGACAAATATATTGGGGATGGGACAGCTAAGAGACTGAGAGGGCAAAGGGATGAGATCTGATTGGTTAAGAGGAAAATATAATGTCCATATGAACAGGAGCGCGTGAAGAACCGGATAGTATCACGCGCGTGGATAGGATATGTCTGAACGCTCCAAGATTCTTTGTGATAATGTAGAAGATACTGTGGAATCGTGGATTGAATTTTTATTTTTATTTTTATTTTTATTTTTATGGGTAATATATTATTTGCAAGTTATCTATAAGGTAGAGTTCATATTGTATTGGTAGGTATGGTATGTGTTATTATTATCACCTCATATTTTAAATTTCTCCAATAATTATTTTTATTTGAGTATTTTCAGAAATTTCTCCATCACGTATTTTTTTTTATTAAAATGGGTATGAAGAATTCCATGGTGACGTTTCACGTTGTCTATCTTAACTTCAATATATGTATATATATTATGGTGATTTTTATTGGAGAAAATATATCTTTATATATATAGCTTTAAACATAGTGGTGAAATGAAAAATGAAAACGGAATTGTGAAAAATACATGTAAAACAAAAAAAAATTACTTCATACAATTGATTAGATGTATTATTTATATAATGGGATAATATATATATATATATATAGTATGACATATTTATAATTAATTTGAATTAAAATTTCATATAAAACTAAAACTAATTTATAAAAATATATCTCTTTAAACATTTAATCTATTTTTATTAAAAAAAATAAATACAATCAAAATTCTAAATAGAATTACCAATGTTAATGGTAACAAATAAATGTAATAAAACCCAACCAAAATTCTAAATATTTATATCTGTAATTATAAAATTTATATTTTAAACCAGAAGGTATGTTATACGTTCCTACAGTTTGTCAAATATAAATCGTATTGTAACAGTGTTTATATTATTTATTTCCATATAATATAATAAATTATCCTTTTAATTAAAACTCAGATCAGTCTCTAATATTTTATATTCCGATATAAGTGTTTAATATATGCATCAAATAAGAGTTTGCGTATGACACTGTATTACTTCGATTATTTTGTATCTATCATAATTCCAAATTGCGTATACTTTTCAACGGAAAGTGGCAGACGAATATTACATTTAATTTGAATTATATTTATATATGGATTATAAATTCTTAAAGACGGATTTTTTTTCTTTTTTCCTTTTTTCTATACGTCCAAATTTTAAAAAAAAATATATATATATAAAATTTCTAGATTTACGGTCTAATAGATCTCTCGTACCCTAAAAAATCACATAAATACCTTTCTTATAGTTTATTTGCATAAATATCATCTATATATAATTATTTTTTAGATTTACATATTAGTGTGTATGGAAAGTCTATATAAATGTGTATTTTGACTAGAAACATGTTCTGTTTATTTTAACAAAAAAAAAACATGTTCTGTTTAAATTTAAAAATTTTATAATGGACCATGTCCGAGAAACGTCATTATCCGATAACCTATTTTGCGTACGAATCTTTATTAAGTTGGATAAAAAAAATATATAAAACCTCAAATGAAACATAAATATTTTAAAATTATCGTTTAAATAAGATAAATCGGGCATAACCCCGTTAGCTCACTTCCATAGTTAATTATATGCTTCATAGTTATTAGCCGAATAATTGAACTAAATAAGATATAACCATAACCGAACCGAATCGAATTTGACATAAAAACCAAACGGTTATGAATTTTTCAAATCCGAAAAAAAATTTCAAACTGAACCGATAAAAAAATAGCCGAAAAAACCGACACTTTCTTTGAAAAAGTTCATTTTTTTACAACAAAAAAACGAATCCGAGCCGAAAAATAACTGAATCGAAGTTTATATAAAACTCAAATTATAATTTTTCTATAACCGAAATAATCGAATCCGAATATAACCAAACTGAACCCGAATCGAAACCCGAAATGACCACCCAACCTTCATCATCGATGTTATAAAACGAAATATCTGTTAACTGCAGTAAAAAATTAAACATTTTACAACATACAAATAGGAGATAATCGCAAATATGCAAATTGATGTAATTGAGAAAAGGGCGAGAGACATGCGAGTGAGAAAACATTTCCACACAGAAAGGTAAGTATGAGATGTTGACTGGTTGATGTGTATAAATTTGGCATTTAATACGTAATAAATCTATAGAACTGTTTTCGCAATTTATAGAATTAATTCAGGGTTGTGATTTAAATTTTGTTTTTATTATTTTTTAATTTATTCTTTTCAAATTTATAAAAATTACAATTAATCGAATTTTATATTTATTTTTATTCACTTTAGATTTATATGAATTCAACTTTTATTTTAAAAATATTTTATTTTTTAATATTGAGTTAATTTAGGTGTTAAATAGAAAGAGGTGAGGTTTTATATTTCAAAAAATGAAAAAACTGACGATCTAAGTTTTTTTTAAATTTGGTTTTTCAAAAAATCTGCAGATTTATTTTATAAAAAAAATCAATTAAAAATTAAAAATCAATTTTTTTTTAGATTTATAAATCTATTAAATCCAAAAACTAAAATCTAAAAACTAAAACTAAAAACCAATTTTTTTATTTATAAATTTATTAAATCTAAAAGTCAAAAACCAAAAACTAAATTCAAAAACTCAAAATAAAAACTCTATACATTCAACAGGGGCATTATAAAAAATGCCCTTATTTTGCTACATTGACTTCATGGCATACCCCTCACTTGACGGAAAAAAAAAAATATCTTCAGACAATACCTTTATAAAATTGCTCTCTCCATAATACCCTCGACACTTTTTTTAATCACTCGATTTGCGTTTCTCTCTTCTTGTTTCTCTCTCCTCGCGCAGTTTCCCACCTTCTCTCCCGATAAATTCCCGCCGGAAAAAACCAGAATTTACCGATGAAATCGCAGTGAATCTACCGGCGAAATCCTTCGATTTGCCTCGCGTTTCTCTCTCTTCTCGTTTCTCTCCCATAAATTCTCGCCGATAAAAACCAGAATCCACCGCCGAATCTACCGACGAAATCTCACCGATTCTACCGTCAAAATCACCTCAAATCACAGCAGTTCAGTGAGATCTGTATAGATCTTGGAAAAAGGCAAGTTCTCATCGCACAACCCATTATTTATTTTCGGTTTAATTCGACCTAACATGTGTATAGATATGACCTCATTTTTCTTATATATATCCCTAAAACCGGTGTTGTATAGACATTTTACACTGGCCACTCTGGTCATGTTGGTCACACTGGTCACGTTGGTCACACTGGTCACGTTGGTCACTCTGGTCACGTTGGTCACACTGGTCACGTTGGTCACACTGGTCACGTTGGTCACTCTGGTCACACTGGTCACTTTGATCACTCTGGTCACTACGGACCAGATGCTCCGGACCGTCCGGTCTACGGAATTTCCAACCGCAATCCGTTGGAAACTCTTTGCAACAAAATTTTCGTTGCTGGTCACTTTGGTCACAGTAGTCACATGTGTCTTACGAATCTTATTCTATACAGGCATAATGGATGCAGTCGACGAGAAAATCACAATTATTTATTTTCTGATGGAAAGTGGGTATTGAATGGTAATAGGGAATACGAATGGGTTGGAAAAGTTAAGGATGGGAAGGGAGTCATATTCATGTGTCCTCCAACTGAATTGAAATACAAACGTCTTGTTGAAGAGTTATATTCTGAAATGGAGGCGGACCAAAGTAAAACAGACATGAAGTTGAGCTATTTGCTAGCTTTAAAAGGAGGTACTGAGCCGATTTACATATCGAATGATAAACAAGTTTTAATTTATCTCCTGGACAAAATGAATGGAGGCAAAAGCATGCTTCACGTGGAGATAGAAAAGGCGAGATCAGAAAATGAGTTTAGAATTCCTGATTTAGCGAGTTGTGTTGGACCATATGGAGGTATAATATGTGTAGGTTATAAGGATTGCGATGTTATCCAGAGTCCAAATTTCAAGAATAAAGTTGGGAGTAATAGTTTATGTATTGGAGCAGGAGCAGCAGTTGGAGTGAATGGAAATGCAACAGATGTAGTGGACTCTGTAAATGATATTCTCTGCGATACTGTAGTTGATCGATATGAGATGGGTACAGATTTAGTGGACCGTGAAACTGGACTTGATGGAAATGAGAAGGCTATAGTGGAGTGTG